GGGGGGGGGGGTGTTTGTCAGGCAGCTTCTCTCCCCACCCCTCACCTCACTAATTTCTTTTCTGAACCTGCCAATAACATCACCCACTTCAAGAAATCAAACTCTGCTTTAAAAGAAAGGTATTTGCAATGCTGAAGAATTAGGCATAAGTTGTTACACAAAGCAAAAATAATTTCCCAAAACCTGTTTTTTTGTTGTGTGGTTTTTGTTTGTTTTTTTGTTTTTTTGTTTTTTTGTTTTTTTTTTACTTCAAAACTGGCAGTGTAAAGAAGGCAGCATTGGAAGTGTTGATATATTGATAATGCCACAAACCCTCCACGACGGACGAGTACTTCTGCGTTTAGGCGACGAGGTTCATTGCTGCCAGCCCACAGAAGTCCCAACGCTTCACAGAGATCCTTTAGAAAAAAAAAAAAACAAACCTGTCGAATTTGTTTTTAACGCTGTTGTTAACTGACGAAAACTTCCCCTCGCTCTGCCGTAGCATCACACCAGATGTATCTCTGTTAAACATGCCATCTGCTTACACTGAACCGGACAGAGACCACCTAGGTTTAGTGTTACCGTAGCAGCCTTTTGAGAAAGTCGAAATTTATTAAACAACTTCAGCCTAATCCCAAGAAAGCCCAACAGTCAGAATTCATTAGGAAGTTTACTAGAGGGTACCATTACACCCATGCCTTTAAGAGTTTGAAAAGTCCACGTATAACACTAGCTATATATATTTAAGAGTGAATTTGGATTGCCTGAGTAACAGCTGTCTGGCAAACGGGACACGATGGCGTTTCCTTTTCACAGATTTTGTTGGCACACTCCATGCAGAAGAGATTGTGGCCGCAGGGGACCAGGGCCGCAATGACTTCACTCTCGAAGCAGATGACGCAGTCGTGCTTCCGTCTCGACTCGGGGGGCGAGCTGGACGTGGAGCCACCGTTGGAAGAGGAATAGCTGTTGGTACCGTTGGAGAAAGCAGGGATGTAGATGGGAAGGCCGGTTTGGTGGCCGGCGCTAGGCGGGTCGCTCCTCACTCTCCTAGCCAAGGGGTGATCCAGACTTTCTGCAAAAGTGGGCGACAGGCGAGGTGTAGATGGTTGGCTCCCTCGGCGCTGAGGCTTGGCGTTATTAGTCGGGTCGTTACCGAAGCCAGAGAGCGGGTTTACAGGTTCAAAAGGGGTCCAAATGGTTTGGGAAGGAGTCGGTAAGGAGTCGTACGCCGGAGAGTCAACCACCAGGTCTTCCGTGCCCACCGCAGGCAGCGTTTCTCCAAACCAGAAGTTGCCTGTGCTGAAGGGACTCGTCGGGCTGAAGTCAGCCAACCTATTGCTTCCAAAATAGGAATCGGTGGAGCCGCTTCCCAAGGAGCTGGAGCTGTCATTTCTATAATTAGAAATCATTCTGGTGCGGCTAGGAGGGACAGGATTAGAAGCGAGCCAGGCAGAGCCCAGGGTGCCTCCTTCAAAGCTGACATCCGTACCGTTGTAGTGGAAATCGTTCTCCTCGTTCAGCTCGATGTAGTTGCCCGTCCTCATGGCTATGTGCATTTCGATCTCCTCGCGCGCCCGGTCGACGTTTTCGGGCATTCCCGTGACTTCGAAGACGGGTTCCTTGTCTCTGCTGGGTGTGACTATGTAGGTGTGGGTCTGCTGTTGAATTCTTTTGATTGTTGCTCCTTTCGGTCCCACCACCAGCCCAACGACACGGTAAGGCACCCTGACTTGGACCGTCGTCTGGCCCGGCAGGTTGGGGGTACACGGCAAACCTCCCAGGGCAGGGCCGTTCTTGTTGCGGGATGCTCTGATCATGGAGAAGTGTTCAGCAGCTGAGAGAATTTCCCTTTTGGCCATGGCTACGTCCTCTTTGCGTCCCGTGACGACGAAGATGGGTTCTTCTCCACGAACGGGGGTCTTAATGTAAGTATTCGTCTTGGCCCTTAGTGCTTTGATTTTGCAACCTGTTTAAAGGAAACAGATGCAAGTTTAATCTAAGTTTAGAAAGCCACAAGCAAGCCATTTATTTTAAGCTGTTTGAGAGTTTCAAGAAACCCTAGGGTGAAACCAGAAGCTGCCTTTTTTATCTCTGCAAGCCACATTAGAGAAAGCAGTACCAACTTCTACCTATTATTTCCGAACAGACCTCTGACACGGCCACAAACTATTTTAGCAGCGTTTCTTCAGCCTGTCATCTCCTCAATTGCTATTAGACCGGGAATAAACGTGGATGGTTTTTTTCCTTCCAACAGCCACGCTGTGGATTTAAACCAGTGGGTTTAAATTCTTCCCATCGATTGGGTACCCCGCAGTTATTTCTAAGCTCCAGCAAAAGGAGTTTTGCTCATACTTGCACGCTGATACGCCAGCCCTTCATGACAAGCGTGCCCTAAAAGCAAATTAAACATTTGTCAGTGAGAGAAGGGTCTGTATCACAACCTGTGTAGGATATAGATAAAATTATTGATTTACTGAGAACTCTTCATTTGCCTCCTGTTATCGATAAGTCTTATTTAAACCCTACTCTTCCCTATGGGGTGAAGGAGCCACTCCTTGAACTGTCAAAGAGGACTTCAAGCAGTTTGTTGCATGCAGATAAGTCTTACTATATAATATTATGTGCCTACGTGGAATTTCCTTCCTTAACTGGATAAATACAGTCTGAGAGAGAAGCAAAAAAGCTAATGGAACGTTTGTCTTTGATTTTTTTGGGGGACTGAATTATAAAGTTTGCTAGGACACAGCGGCAGCAGGCTCTTTCCTAAGATGCTAAAGGCATTTTGGCACGGTGCACGCAGAAGCACCTTTTACCCATCCCAGGACTAGAAAAGCAGGCAGCGCAAAACCGAAGAGACACAAGCCAAAAATTTAAGAGAGACGCGAGCACGTTCAAGACAGTCTCCTGGATTCAGCCTTCAGTGAATTTAACTTATTTCAAAACAAATTCAAAAGCATGGCACGCTGAATGGCATTTTACAGCAAACCTCAGCTTGAGACAACTACAGGCAACATTCGCAGACCGAGTGTTTTAAGCATCGCTCCACTCGCAGAGTGAAATTTGTGCCCATTTTCCTCCTTAAGTATCTCCTAACTGTCTTGAAAGAGTGTTTTGTCACTCCCTTGCACCCGAGGTACCACTAGCAATAATTTTTACGGTTCGAAAGCCACTCAAAGACGCACTTTATTCAGGACTATCTGCTAATGAAAAAAAAAAAAAAAAAAAAGGCAAATATGCAGATGCTGGTTGGGAATAGAGGGAAGGAAAAGCTGCTTCTTGCAGGGCCCCTGCACACAGCAAGGACAAAGGCTGAACACAACAGGCCTTTGTTTCCAGGACACAGCTGGAGAGGAAGTTCATTATCTTCAACAGCTCGTCGGGAGGGCTCTGGGAGGCCCTACCTCCACCCGAAAGCACACGGGAGGGCTCCCAGCAAGGGAAGGAGGTGGGGGGGATGGAGATCTCGAGAGCCAAACTGGAAGTTCTGCAAGAGCAGCAAGTGTCTGTAGGTGAGAACAAACCCAGAAGCCTCAATCTCCCACCAGAGCCCACCGAGAAGGGCATGAGTGCTCTATCAGATTTAAAAAAAATAAATAAAAAAGGAAAAACACAGGCACGAGGTGCCCTAAGAAAGCAGAACACATCCTTTGAAGCCGTGCCGGTTCCCAGCTCCTAACAGCCAGCAGCAGCCCACTTTGGCAATTTGCCTTTACTCTTTGGGTTGTTTTTTTTTTTTTCCCCCCCCCCCCATCTCTGTTTGCCTTTCTCCCTGGGAGTAAATCTGCTCGCCCGTTCCACTTCCCATTCCTTCACAGTTACTCAGAAAAGATGGTGGGCTCACACCTTAAACGCACAGGGATTCCCTAAAGCCGTGCTGCTGAAGTTTTCCCACCAGCCAAGCCCCCTAAACCCCAAGTCAGATGGGTAGCAATTAATTCTCCAATTTACAGATGACTTTCATTCACTCCATTCCACCCAAGCATATAACTTTATTTCCCCCCAAATTCGAGGCAGCATTTAAAGACTAGGAGCATCTAATCCAAGACATACACATAAATAAACAGCTATATAATTCTGTATTATATACCACCGTTCAGATTAATTCTAGATCCCAAAGCGCCTTACTGATTCTTACAGTTTATATTTTCTAAAAAAGAAAAAAAAAAAAAAGAAGCTTTTCTTGATGTTTTAGCTCAAATCAGAAAGTTAGCATCTTCAGCTCCGTTTGCCATTTCGGCTGCAAACTCCAAGATTGCTTTGCCAGAGCCACATTTCCAAACCACACTGGTGTGGGGAAAAAAAAAAAAAAAGCCTTCTCGTCTTTCTTCCTCAGGCTGTAGAATGGCACAGGCCAAGGTGGGCAGAAATTTCTTTTAAGGTACAAATCACATACCTAGAAAGCAGAGGCCAAACGCTGCCTCAACTCCCTGCAGCGACAGAACGAGACTTTTCAACATCAGAAAGCTGGCTTCAATGGGAAAGCTGACTCCACGGATCGTCAAGGTCAACTCCGAAAACTTTTCCGATAAAGTCAGAAAGAACTGAAGAAAGTCACCGCATGCGAAACCCAACATTTCTGAATGAGTCAGTCAATGCCCACTGGGTTTTGTCCGCCAAGGAGTGCTGGAAAACCCCTCAACGGCCAAAGTCAAGGCAAAACACAAGGTCAGTAGCTCATTATTACCGCTCCAAACAGAATGATTTTTTTTTTATTTGCTTTTACTCAGCTGCTCTGGCTTCCCACCCTCCTCCCTTAGTCACTACCCAGGCGATGATACGAAGCCACGGCTGATCCCATCCCCTCTCTGACAATTCGGGGCATCCAGAGGCAGCTGTGGCCACGACGACACAAGGTCGGCCAGCTATGAAGTCATGTGGCTGAAGGATGAATCAAAAAGTTTCCCAATCTCCCGAGCTTAGACACAGAAAGACAAAGGAAAAAATAAAAATAACACCGCCCCACATTTCTGCAATAAATCATCAGATCGTTGCATCGAAGACTCTGAAGTCCAGAGATTTAAAAATAAAATGCCTGAAGAGGGAACTTCTAGACTGAAAATTCAGTTTCATCAAACCTTCCAAACTAATTTTAGTTTTATGATGAAGGAAGTCAATACAATACAAGGTTGCCATACTCGGTCCGGCACTATCCACATTCCTAAGCAGCACACTCAGCCACAACTGACACATTTAAAGAAAAAAAAAAAATCTCTTAGTTTTGCTTTTGTTTAGGCAAAGATTTAGTACTTGCCTGCCCAGGCACCCGAGGAGGAGCCGAGCCCATACCAAGCCCTGCAGGCAGTGCTCCTCCTGTGCCGGCTGACTTGTATCATTCTTCTCAAGCCTCCTCCCCATTTTCCCTCAAGAGGATTATTTGACTGAATGTTTTAAACACACTACGAACATTATACTCCCCAAGAAACTTAAGGGTAGCTCTGAAGGAATTGTTTACCTCATACACCACCATTTTTAAGTGATCAAATACTTCCTTATTAAAAAAAGTGATGGGAAGACAGATTCTATTTTTTTTCCCCCCCTTTGAGCAAGGGTTAAGCATCGTGCCCGCAGTCCTCACGCGTCACTCCCAACTGTCACCCTTCATCATCGCAAGAGAGAGAGGTCAAACCCAATCTCAGGCCATTTACTCAACGAGGGAAACTCCCCAAGGGAGCCAGCAGAGCCGAGTGACCGCAGTGGCAACCCTGTGCACGCCTGCCTCACACCACCCCAGCCAGCCTGGGGCTGGCAGCCAAGAACCACCCCAAAAAAAACCCCCCAAAATGCAACTTGGCAACGCAGGGACACACACCTCATACCCACCACAGTCCTCCTGCCAAGTGGAACTGGGGTTTAGGCATGCAGGGGAACCCAAACTTCCTTAGCATCATGGCTGTTTAACTTAGACTCCCCAGTTATATTAAAAAAAAAAAAAAACAAGCTGAAAATTTAAGTAGAAACCTGGAAGTCACAGCGGGTAAAAATTCAGCGAGCAGCCCCTGTGAACCTCAACCGAGTGCCAACACCAGTTTGTTCTCCTTCCCTGCTCCTGAGGAGTACTTAGCGAAGGGGATCAAACCCGAGAACCAACTCCAGCTCTTCAGACGCATAAATCCTGGCGGCTAACACCGGAGAGCAGCGAGGTGGGTGAAGCTGCACGAGCACCAACTCTTCTCTTCCGCAGGAGGCAAGACAACCCCGGCGTCCTCCAAACGGGCCCCAGAGCAACCAGGAGAAAAGGGTTTTTTTCAGTAGGTTTGCCGTTATCTGCTGAAAGGCAATCCTTGTATTACAGCCTCCACGGTCTTTAGCGCTCAGACGAACGGGCTGACGCCCAGTAAGGAGGTGGCGACAGAGTAATTAGTCATGTCAACCTGGAACCGCGAGCCGCGAGTAAAGCCGTGCCTAATTCCTTACCTAGAAAGTAAAGGCAGAGTCTGGGAAGTCCCTGCGGATCCGCAGGGGCTGGCACAGCGCCGCCAAGGAGCCAGGGGAACGCACAGGGCTCTTGGTTTTCCATCAGCTTGGGGCTGTGGCGTGCAGACACGGCTTCGAAGGTGGAGCCTGTCAAGCTGGCACAGCCCTTATTTCACCGCTAAATTGCCACAAGCTTTTAATTGGGAAGCGGGAACTCCTGCAGCTAAGGTAAGGAAGGATGTGCAGAGACTGAAGCACTGGCTGTACCAGAAGGCCAACAGCTGCTGGGGCTGCAGAGCATCACACTGCCCACCTGATTAACGACCACAAAATTAATCTACTTCATTAAGAATGACTGCTCTACGTTATTTTTCAGAAGAGCTGGTGGTACAAGCTGCATTCTTTTGCGTAAGCAGAGCGCGTCCCCTCAGCTGTGGCTAAAACCAACTCTCCAGTTTGGGATTGTACAGTAGAAAAATCTGATTTATGCCCCATTTATTAAGCAGAGACGAAGCTGCGTTGAGACAGAAAACAAAAATCCTATTCTACGCTGTTTAATGGTTAAACCTCATCAAGCAGGGAAAAAAAAAAAAAAAGAATATTTTTGGCACTTCTCTGGGTTATTAAAGTCATACAAAAAATACTACCTGTTGTCTGGTCAGTTGACAGGTTACCATCAGCTAAGATCAATTAATTCATCTCACACCTTGTTTTAATTCATGGACCAGAGAAATTTTAACTCCTGACAATTTTTATTTATTTATTTTTTTTCCAACTGACTGTTGAATATAGTTAGTTGGGTCAAGGAAGATGAAGAAAGTAATTTCTCTTCACTTGCAAAAGATGCCAATCTGCACAAAAAAAAACCAACAACCCAACTTTACTCAGGCAACCATCGCCCCTGTGGCATGTTGATTTCAGCAACGAAGGCTGTAAAAAACCGCTTTATTTTTTTTAAAGCGGTTTTAAGAGACAGCCTAACCTTGGATAATAATTACCAAATAGATTTTTCTAAAGGCAAGTTTTCATCTCCTTTGAACGCAGCTTTCTCTCCAGCCAGAGGTAAGCTGAGAGACACCTCAGAGCGCAGCATCCCTTCCAAATACAGCACCAGACCAACCACCACCAGCTTCAACTGCTCCCCATTAGCATTATATAGTACAGATAATAGTCTGATCACTATTTGGGTTAATTAGGTGGTTAAGATTAGGGCTCCCGTGTGACAACTAGACACGATACATGCCAGAGAGCTCACAAATATGGATACACCAAGAGACAGGCACAGCTTGCGGCTGGGATTTGTTCAAGCTCGCGGGGCAGGTTTGGAAACGGAAGGCAGGCCCCAAAGGAGGAGAGCAGCTCACTGCTTAAATGGGGACACGGATGCACGCAGATTTTAAGCAACTGCCATTTTGTTCACTTAGCAAATCAAAGCAATCTCCTCCCTGGTGCTACCCAAGCTGTGGTTCCTTGGAGGTGGCCACCTGAAACACACACAGAGTTGTGAGATTAACGGCCCCGGGGCAAAGGCTTATCCCCACAGGGTAATACGTGCTCCTGCCCTTCAGCGGGTTGTGTTTTCTAGATTAATCTTTCAATTTATCGCAGTAGGGATGCTTCATGGGAAGCCACCAAGCAGAGCTTCTTCTCGAATTTCTGCTCCAAACCACGATACCGATAGCGTTACCATCTAAAAACTGGGAGCAACGTTCCGGCTCTGGAGCGTGGCTGTATTAATGGTTTTGGGCGACAGCTGGACCTCAGAAGTGCTGTACATGGGTAAGAACTAAACACTACAACAAGCAACGCTACAAGGAGGTAAACTAGTTGAGTAGCAAAAAGGAGAAAGAAAAACTCAACTGACAGCCACTCCGATAAAAGTTATTCCCAGAGAAGGAATGACGACGTCCGAGTCAAGAAAAATTAAAATGAGAGCATTCGCTACCAAAGACATTTTTTCCCTGCCTCCTGACCCCCTCATTAACTCACCGCTGCAATCAAAAGCTTTTAGTTACACGGCAGTTACCAAACCCCTGTGCCTGCCTGTGGAACATTTCAATACGACTCACGCTATATATAGCGACCGAGACTGCTCCCATTATAATTCCATCAGGCTCACCCATTTCTGAGGAGCAACTGACCACTTCTTTTGCTTCGTATTTTTTACATGTATGAATGCTAAGATGATACACGACTCTCCCTACCTGTCGGCATTCAGCTAGGACTGCAGAAGGAGGTTTAGACGTGGTAATTCCCAGACCAGCACTTCAAGCACGAGGCACCAAGAAGGTCAACCTGGAGATCCCAAGCACTTTAACCAAAAGCCAAAGGAATCAGCTCAACCCCTCAGTTGTGCCAGACCACAAGGAGCAGGACTTCATTTGGCTGCCAAGCTAACAGATGGGAAAAACGGGGAGCTTTAAGAGTCACTGACAAGGCTGAGAAATTCTCCCAGAAGAAGGCTGCGCCGAAGTTCTCAGGGATGTCTCCCTCTTTCGGAAACCGAAAGCCCTGGTTCAAGAACCGTGTACCAACTCTTCACTAAGAGATTTCTTAGGTATGTATCAATCAATTTATAAAGTAGTCAGCCTGCACATTGTTTCCTTCTGTATGTCAGGCTGGGACAATCTATCACATCAGTGATCTCAGAGGCAGAGGAATACTCCGATTCCCAAGACAGATGGCGACTCAGTAAACAAGTTACACGCAGCAAAAGAGCCAGAGGGCAGCAACTTGTATTATTAATTACTTGCACTACTGCAGTACCAGGACTAAGGTAACAGCTGCTGAGCAAAATTAGACAGATATGGTAGTAGAAAATAAGAGAGGGAGTATGTCCAATAAATAAAACTACAGGAAAAAAGTTGTTTTTGTGAAGAACGTTGATTTAGTGAATGAAACAGATAGGTGTGAGCAACAGTGGGGGGAAACCCGACCTGCAGAAGGAGGATATTAAAAGGGATCACCATCCAGCACGCCAAGAGGGCCAATAAAAGGAAGATTAAAAAAAAAAAGTGCAAATCTTCACCAACACCGAAGCCCTGATTCAAAAAAACGCCGCGAGAGCGGTGGTTTGAAACACAAAATTCCGCAGTATATTGTCAAATATAAAACGAACTAGAGGGTAAAAAAAGTAAGAGATACTGTGGTCTTTGTTCAAAGGAGCAGCAGAGAACTTGGTGCAGACCGCAGAATTACTGACTCACACCACTGAAGGAAACTGAGATCTCGGATGCTGGCAAGATCTCATGAACTTAAAGGAATACCTGAAAGAGAGAGAAAGAGGAGACATTCTTAAAGAGCAACCGAAATTGGAAACAAATGCTTGATGTAGGGCTTTTTGGCCTTTTCTTTTGATTAAATAAAACCGTTCTAGTTCTCAGCAGCCTTTTTTTTTTTTTGTTACAGCAAGTTTGCAACCCTATCCCTGTCTTTTTTTTTTTTTCCCCTGCAATAGGGCATTGGCCCTGTGGGGTGGAGGTATTACATCAAAACCAAATTGAAGATCTTTGAGATCCAACACTTTTGTTTAGAACAAAGTTTCTCTTCCAGAAATTCAGAGCACAGTGTACTAGAAGAGAGGGTAACAGGGGCTAAGACAGGGAAACACACAACATCTGCTGACTTGACCAACAGCTTAAAGAAAAAAAAATTAAAGAAAATCATCCCCCTTTTCTCATGCCACAGAAAAGTTAATCCAGTGCAGTTCAGGAGCACATTAATCAGGATTTCTTTTATATGTGTATGTTATAAACTTAAAAACTCTTTTAGACCACGGCAATTCTACAAGCAAAACAAAAGGACCAGAGGATTAGGAATCGGCATTTTACATCACGACATTTTTATTATTTTAATTTCAGCTTCATCAAAAAAAAAAAAAAATCTTACTGATGCAGGTATCAATCTACGAAGACCAGAAGTGAAAAATCTACGGAATTTCTAGCAGACTACACCAAGAGAAAACATCTCCTGAGCGTGCACTCTATTGGGTGTGCTTCCCACCCAACGAGCCAGACAGGAGCAGCATTTCCGACTCGAGGATTGATGATCCCAGCTGGAGAACCTGCACCCTTCTGACACACTCTGGAGCTTGAGTTGGATCTTCGCATAGCACAAGGGACAAACAGCCGAACTGAAAGGATGTTTGTCACCCAGCACCGGAGGAAAAGGCTGCAGAAGCTTCAGCAGTGATTTTTAGACTCTGCCAGGCCACAGCACGCTCACGTGTTTCAGTTCCTGGAGTTCCAGGCTCTACAAGTGATGAGCCTTCAACTTGTCAGAAAAAAAAACAGCTTTTAATATTGGATTTCAAAGCTCAGGTTTTCTTTCAGTCTTTAGAACAAGCCATTTAATATAGCATTTAATAACCCACTTGTTATAGAAGATGCAAAATAAAAGAAAAAAAAAATCTGAAGTGTAACTGCCTTTTCAGCTTTCAGTGAAAATAATTCAGCTGAACCTATGGTCTTTGTTGTCTGTGGCAATCAACTGACAAGAGAGATAGGTGATGACTTGTCATGCAAATTAAACTTATTCTTGAGAGTGAAAATCTTAAAGCACTCAGTTTTTTGTTTTTTTTTTTAAAAAAATCACCCTAGTTAGCTATACTTTTTCTGACTATTTCTTACAGGTTAACAATTAAGTCAAGGCTCTGAAGTATTGTCAGCAAGTCAGTAACATTATTATCACAACATAGCGAGACATAAACCCAGACACACGGTTCTTTTTGAAAAGACTACAGTTATCCTACCACAGGACATCTATCTACTGCACTCCCCAACGCAAGTATTTGCTCTGGGATTGTTTTAACACTGTTTCCACTCCCCGAGAGTGATAGCTATTGTTTTTATTTGGCTGTTCAACCATGCTAGATAGTTATCAGCTCTCAACTTATCAGAATTTTTTTTTGTTGTTGTTGTTGTTTCAAGTTACAGGACTATTTTAAGCCAAGTAATATTTTGCTCGGAAGCCCACATGCAAAAAAATAAAATAAAATCAAAGAGCAAAGACGGAGCCCAAGATCATTAAATATGCATAAAAATGTTATTTTAGTTGCAAGGCTGTCTCATGCAAAGCAGATTTGTCATTATCGATTTAATCAGTGAAATGGGATGATATCATTCCTCCTCCTCTTACTCATCTGGGGTTTGGAGGCTGCCCTGCCCGTTTCAAGCTCTGCAGCCACCATCCAAACTGCTCTTATTAAAGAAAAGCATCAGGCTTTAGAGTTAAGCAGCTCCAACTCCAGGGATGCCTTAGGGAAGAAAACCACTATTGTCAAGATTTATCGAGGATATAAACACTTGGAAAAAAAATCACGTTACTTGGGACAGTCACAACACTGGAATGCATTTAGCACATACAGTCCAACAATCATTATCTGAAGACTGTTAATACCTTCAAGGATGAAGCATCTCTCTACAGGACACTTTTGTCCCTTTCAGCATCTTTCAGGTTTTCTGTTCATGTCTTCAGACACCACCCCTCTTTTTGTACTATTCAAAAGAGCTTTTAGTGTTTAAACAGGTCTCTCTCGATTTTCAGTGTAAAGAAAGTAGCAGCAGGCACTGAAACCCCCCCCCCTTACACTTAGCAAACCCTTCTCAAGACCCCCCAAACCGGGGCAGAACTGCCACAGAGTTACCACCACCAGCTTGACTTAAAGTTTTCAGGTGACCCACAGCAGACTTTTTGCAAGTCCTTCACATAATTTAGAGATTAAACCAGAACCTCCCAATTTAACTCTCCAGAAGGTTTGTTTTTGTTTTTTTTTTTTTAAGTCTGGATACATGCTTATATAATTTTGGGTATACGCCCTATGCCAGCTCCTCTCAGGCAAACAAGGCCACCTCCTCAGCAGTGCAGCTTTCTTGCTACCACTTCTGAAGAGCACTTTCTCCAACTTTTTTTTTTTTTTTTTAAAAAACCAACGCAACTTTGCACATGCAGGATTTTTAGCTGCTGACAGCAAAGGAAGTCACTTTTCTGATCAGTGTGAAGAGCAGCCAACTTACCGAAGGTTGGATTCAACAGCTAGTTCAAATTCATACAGGAAGCCTGTACAATGCCATGAATGGAATCTAGTTTTCCTGGCTCCTAGTCACATGCCTTAACAAGAATAAAAGGATACAAATATCTTTTCCTTTGTTGTTCACCTTTGAGATTCTTCCACTTCAAAGGCTACAAAGAATTACATTGCATTACTCCAACCAGTATCTGTCAGCTTCTCTTTTTTTGGGGGGGAGGGCAAGGGGAATAAGAAAAGGTTGAGAATATTTAAGATTTTTAAAAAGCAACAACAAAAGAAAAAAGCACAAAACCTGCCAGGTTTCAGAAATACTACAGATTTAAAAAAAAAGTAACACCTACTATTCATTAAAAGAAAATTGGATTAAGCCTTTCCCGCTGATGGAAATGCTTCTAGCAGCGACACATTAAACTCCTGTCACAGTAACCCTGCCGCCTCCGACGTACTTCACGAGAAAACCATCAACCACAAGGTACATTTCAGGCCCTCCAACACCTCCTATAGCTGTGACATCCCACATCTGTGCCCAGCTCCCAGCACAGATTCGCCAAGCGCAGCTACCCACGTGGGAACCTGCAACACAGCGACCCAGAGCAGGGCTGTGGGAGCGCCACTTCACTGCCTGAAGGGCTCGATTTATTTCTGAAATTTGCACGTAATTGAAAAAAAAATTAAAATAAACTAAATGCAAGCACCTTCAGGTTTTCGTTTGTTTACAGCTCTCTTAGGAATCATGGGGTCCTTCGGTCTGATAAACTGGAAACTCTCCTCCTCTGTGCAAAAAATTAAATTTGGATTAAAAAACAACAAAAAATGTGGAATTCTGGTTATCATTACTCTTTCAGTTAGGGGGTTAGGACTTACAATAAACATGCTTTCAGACACAGCAGTGAGGCCTCCAGCAAAGCCTAAATCAAACTCAGCATTCCTGGTATTTCAGAGCTGATGTTTTCAGGCTGCAGACATTTCAAGTTCTTTTTATACCTCGCAAAGACAGCAAGAGAAAGCACAGCAACTTAATCTTCGCGAAAATCCACCAAAAGTAACATTCCGATTGCATCGCCCTTACGTAATGAAAAGTATCACAGCACAGAGGAGTCTGGCATCGAGCTTCAACTGAATTCGGTCAAGATAACGCAGCCGGCTGGTTACGATGCGTGCTAGGAAGAGAATGTGCAGCATCTTC